GCAAAAGGTGTAATTCAATGCTAGACCATATCTATATTAGCCATTCTAAGGTTAAGGAAAAAAACTGAGAAAACTGAGGAAAAAACTAAGAGTTATTTATTTATTTTCTATTTGCTTTCAAAAAAATCAATAACTGCCATGAAATTGGATGAATGTCAAGTAACATCTGCAAAACGAAGGCCTACAGATAATGAAGTTATCATGTATGTTAAGTTCATACGTATCAGGGATTGGCTGAATTTTCTCTTGCAATAATCATATGCGAGGAATAATGAGTCAATTAATCATAAACTTGAGTATGAACAGCTGTATCACCTTATAACTAGAATTGACTTTATTCAATGGAACTTGGACATAAGTCCATCCATCAGAACTTTTGGAAGTTGACCATAAACTCCAGTATCCATGTCCAACAATGCCAACACCCAGATTTGCTGAGTAGCCAAGACCAATGAAATACCAGAATCGCAGACATGACCAAGTGTTATTCCCCAAATCAGCGGAAGTTATACTATGGAGTTGTCCTGAAGTTTTGTCTTTGAGCTCTAAATATCTACCTAAAAAAGACAGATAGACGTTTGTATAAGTACGTAAGGATAGTGTGGTTGATAACATGCTGATAATTAAGAGTTTATTATTTATTTACTTTATCTATTAACTTTACAACTAGATAATTAAATCTAATTGAGGGCATGGCCAACAGGACAAGAGTCCCATGTAAAGACCAGCGGCCTAAGCATCTTGTTTACGGTAAACAAGGCAATCATGTAAATTAGTAATCATTATAATTAGTAATTATATGGTATTTGACTGAATGATTTTTTTCCCGTGTTCAAATAAAGTTTTTGATTAATTGATTGATTGATTGAAGTGCCAATGGACCAATTTCACTTGGGCGTTATCTTTTACCCATTCAGACCACGTGTCACTCTCTTGAGAATAAGATTATTTGTTTGAGTTGTATCCATATTCATGTATCTGCACATATGCAACCCTTAAACAAAGAAATAATGCTCTAGGGAATGACACGTGGTCTGAAATGGGAAAACAGAGGATTAGATTTAGTGACAAGCAAAAAAATACTTCAGAATTAGTGAAAAGGAAATCGCAAAAAATCTCGAAATAGTCTAAAAAAAGAAGACTTGTCTTTGATGAGAAGGTTTTCGGAAGGTAAAGTGAAATACACGGGAACGATGGAAACGTGGTCATTTCTGTCGTTTGTGGGAAGAACAGTTTATACCTCGATCGCCGTTCTGCCTGATGTGGCCATCGTTGACATTTTGTATTAACCAATACCCATCATTATGCCAATGGCATGTGTCTTCCTCAAAAGCACAGTCTGGGCTCACTTGACACCATACAAAAAATAAGAAATATTATTATTCGTTTTCCATAGCTGCAAATAAGCATTGGTCATCGGACAAATGTCCCAAACTCTGCGATTAGCAGATGATTCGTGTGGACACAGGGACATTTGACCTAACCCATTTTACAATGTATATTAATAAAAGATCAGTAATGCAGTTAATGTTTGAAGCTTAGGAAATATTTGATATGTACCCTTGTATAAGGCTGCAAAAACGATTCTCGTAAGCAGGTTATTTTTTCAGACCATAGGCAATGTTTACTTGTTTAGAAAAATATTCTAGGGTAAAAGTCCAGCAAACACAAATAACTTTAACAAATCATGCATTCTTTCAGGGTTTTTCTCCGGGTTCTCAGGTTTTCCTCCCTCCACAAAACTTAATATTCGGAATTCCAAGTCCTTCGGTGAGTTAACCGTGCCCTRACTTTGATCAGCCCAGAGGCTGTTTCAAGCCTTCGTTAAAATTTGAAGGTTGGAAGTTTTTTCCAAGCTGCAAGATTGGGATTTTCACCGGACAAACTTGCATATGACCTGAAAAAAATGACCTGCTTGCCAAAATCGTTTTTGCAGCCTTATACAAGGATGCGTATCAAATATTCCCTAAGTTTCAAGCACTTGTTACCTGGATCAACAACTTTAGTACAATATCCTTCTAGAAGTGTGACGTCATCTAGAGCAATATCACCTTTGCTCCCAGAACCTCTCACTCCTTCGATTATAAACTAAGCAACAACGATAAATATTAGTACAAAATAAGATATTAAATGAATAAGCATCCATATTAAGTGGGAATAAAAGATCAACAAACTGAAGAAGAAAAAAACAACAAATGAGAATGGCAAAAAAAAAAGGGTGATAGTAATATAAAAATCTTGCTAAGCGACTGTGATTGATCGAGATCTATACTGTATTAGTGAACGTAGCAGGATGATGACACCGTGCGCATGCGCAGCCAGGTTCGCAAAGAAGTTGAAGGAAAAACATTGATAAATATTTTTTAAATTTTATTTTGAATATATTTTTCCCTCAGACAAGAAGTGTGACAATCACTCCCGCAATGAGAGTACATGAGTGGAGAACTGTGTGCTTAGAGCATTAAATGTAGAGATAGTGAGTGTGGAGTGTGTCGTATACCGATCATAAACCTCTGACTAGAGAGACTCGATCGGCAACAACTCCTCTCTGTATTACTTTATTAATTAAACAATTTTTACGTGAAAGGCTTACGTCTCTGTTCTAGATATCTCTAGATACCTCTTTTATTCCAACGAAGGACTATCGTCCGAAACGTCAGGAAGTTTTTTCATCTTTACACGGTGTAAAATTGACCCTTTTATCATTACTGCAATAGATATCTTTTAATTAAATCTAGATGTTTCACGTACCTGGAATTCTCCGGTAATGTTTATTCCTACTTGGCCAAATAACCATCTTTCACCTTGGTTTCCCGTCCGTGACCATATTACACTTTCCTTGCTGTTAGATGTCTTTGTAATGATATTTAATGCGCCAATATGAATACCGTACATGTGATACCAAAACTGCAAACAAACAGATGAGCCAGGACTCATCCAGTCACTAGAGAGACGTGCCTTGTCTCCTACGCGCCTTTGAGATGCCTCGATGAATATGTAAGAGCCTAAAGGAATATATTGAATAAATGGGAACGTTAGTAATTGGGGACATCTCGAGCGTAAGGGGTTTAACAGACATTTTAGAACTGAAGTTCGAGTTTTCGAGGTAAATTGTACCAAGGCAAAAAGTTTAATTAGTTCGAGTTAGTGAGGGGACTGGATAGCCATTTTTCGATATCCTGTTTCAGTGATCAAGCACAAAGCAATCCGAGTTGAGGCTCCGGAGAAACAAAAGAATAGTTACGATTACGCAATTGTAGATCTAGTTGGACTTTCCTAATACTTCTCCCCTGAAGCGTGGGTGATACATCGGACTATCAGTTGGGGTGCATGGTACTTGCGGCAGCCGCCATATTGGTTGACGATAGCAAAGCTATAAGCTTCTATTGTCATGTCGAGCGTCGATGTCGACGACATGTCGCTGTTTTATTGTTATTCATATCTCAAGGGATTTTGAGTCATGCATGCGGTTGCACCCCGCCTAAGAATAGACCTCTTTATCTTCGTATGCAAATTGTCCATTTCAGACCACGTGACATTACCCTGAGAATTGTTCTTTTGTGATGAACATTTTGAAATATTTACATACGAAAGAATCAACTCCAAAGAGTGGCATCACATGGTCTGAAATGGGACAACAAGAGCAAGGAAGGTAAAGAGGTCTAACGTCACCCATTAATAGGTTTTGTAATATTTTTCTACCCTGCTGGTCCCAAGTCGAATGATCAAACATTGGTCCAGTGTGATCTGACGGCGTACTACTCGTACCAATCGTCCATCGAAGATCAGTAGCATTGTCATGCTTCAGTCCACAAAAACCATTATCAAATGTGCACAAACCTGTTAATAAAATGCATAAACTGATCAATTTGTGTTGTATAACTTTTATCACACTTACAATCGAGATCTTAGTCGTCCATCCTATAAGTGAATACTACTATAACTGGCTTGTGGTAGCATAATAATACGACAAATACTAAATTTGCAACCAATACTTGCAATGAAATGAATCGCAATAAACTAGAAGTTAAATTTTCTTGATTTTAGTAAATATGCAATTCTTTTTCTTCTTCTTCTTCTT